AGTCGGCGGCGTTGTATATGCGTTGAGAGACGGGCAACGTGGCATCGATTTCTGAGGTCAGCGTTTGAGACCCTGTCCCGCCAGTTTACTCTCAGGATGAACCGAAGACACTAGTGATCGAAGACCTCCAATCGTCTGATGTCCTCAGCTCTCAGCGGCCGTATAGTATGACTGGTCGAACCGCTGTGGCAAATACCTTGAGCTTGGTTTTGAGGCTGATCTCGTTCCGGCACCATAGGGTGGTTCGGAGCTGCAGAAACGCCGTTCGGGCCGTGTCGATGCGCCGCTTTACATCATCTTTGGCTTGTCCATTGGGCAGGATGGTGGACCCAAGGAACTTGAATTTCAATACGATTTCTATTGTCTGACCATCCAGTTGCAGGGGATGTTCCGCTTGATCAGATGGAGTAGCGATCGGAATTAGACTACACTAAGTGGTTTCGCCTATCTGGACAATTCGGTGAAGTCTGACGGTAGCACAGTGAGGGTGACTGCAAGTGTATTGCAGACTGGAGTGGTGTACGCTGGAAAGAAACACCTTTGTCATGAAAGTGGAGGTGCAGCGAAGTTGAAATATCACGTTAATTGTGCCACAATGAGATCAGGAGATATTCATTAACCACTAGTGTTTACGCCATTGTCACAGACCGAGGTATTACATAGTTTTTTGAGAACGGCTCGGTAAGAAGAAATCGTTAACTCAGCGAATTTGGATATGTAGAGTTCACTGGTTAGAACGCGACCGGCGTGTCTAACACACCGGGGCTTTGTTTTCAAAGACCGATATTGTTTGGAGAAAATCACATCGATATTAACAGATGAAGTTGCGACGGGAAGTGAGAAAAAGCAAAGAGCGATAAGGCAGACTAGGTGTTTCTGGTTTTCCGGGTAGGCGTGCAAAATATCATGCAGCTGGTTGATTCGGGATACTGACGTACATTGAAACATGGCTCTTATCATTTATTCACAGAATGATTGATAAGGTGTGTATACTCAGTGGAATTGTGTCCTCTGTGTGTTGACCATAGAGATTTACTTCCTTCCACCGCCAAAACATCAAAACAGGTTCACATCCCGTACATTTCATACATGCACACCCGTTTTGCGTATACTGCGGGCTTGGCGGTATTCCCTTGAATCTCCCTGTATAATGATGACGACCGTACGCACCACTGTTTTTTATCGATCATCCCATGTTTAAAGAGTAGAGAGAAAGAAACAAAAATTGTTACTTGATCGATAACCGGTACACACCGCATCGGATCATGACAGACTGGACAAATATTTACAACCACTGCTACGCTAGAAGTGCCATCAAGAAATAATGGGAAGCACCAGGGTGCAGGAGTGAATAACAAAAAACGTAGACTCACTCTGCTAATGGAGCTTTGGCATCGGAAAGAAAACGACGCAAAATCGGATTTTGATAACCGGTATCAGCATCGTCACCCGCATCGTCCTCTAAATGCGCATTATCCCAATGAAAATCGGGCTGAGTTTGGTAAAATGTTGGCTCTGTGGATACGTTATTACCGTGGTATTCGGAGAAAAGCCCATTGGAAACAAAATCTAGAGGAAGAGGATTTAAAACAAACGAGAAACATGACGATGGATAGACATAGTTCGAATACAATCATAAAATATCGGAATGAAAATGGGAAGTACCCTCTGGTTTTAAACCATTTTGGGAACTGGTCCGACACAATGAACTGGACCGGTAGCCGGTGTGAGTGGGCAGACTAACAAGCCCTGAGCTCTGAGCTTAATAAGGAGAGAATGATAATTCGACAGAGATTTAATTAGAAGATGAAGGAGAATAGTTATGCAACTGAATATTCGCATTCCACCATTAACTTCATTAACGTCTTCCTTTGCGCTAATACAGGGTTCAAAATTGTGAAAACAGTGTAGTCACAATCAACCAATCGCATTGATCACATAAGAGCATCACATTAACAACTTCAACCCATGTATATAACTGTACTAGCGTGAAGAATAAGTTATCGAAAACAAGCTCTGTGTGTGTTTTCTCAATGACACGACGGGAATATTCGGTGAACTTTCATTTCGGTGTACGAACAACGTTCAATTTCTTTTCAACGGAACGGTCAACCGACAAAAGTAAGGAATAGCAATGGGGTCACCACTAGTACACATTTTGGCTGATTTTTTCTCACGGCAATGATGGAAATTGAAGAGCACCGCTACCAGTTTTCATAAATATTGTCGATATGTAGACGACATATTTTGTATAGTTAATTCAAACTGCGAACTGGATCAACTGCTAGAAAAGTTCAACTCCACACATAAGGCCATAACATTTACAAAGGAGGTAGAAGCAGATCATCGAATACCGTTTCTTGATGTACTCCTCATTAGAAGACATGATGGATCTATACAGCGCCGTACCGTAAGAAAACATGGAGTGGCCCGAATTTTCACAGTTATCTTCCGATCAAACTGAAGAATAACCTGATAAAATGTTTTGTATCTAGAGCTCGGAGAATCTGCTCACAAGAAGTATTGGAAGATGAACTCAAATTTATCTCCAACATGCTCGGAAGCAATGGCTACCCCGACCGCTTCATTCAACAAAATATGTTGGAACAAGTAACAAAAGTACATAGTGATAGGGTGGAAAAGAAGGACCTGTTCATTAGTTTTTCTTCTAAGGGTGAAGCTGCCGCTGAAACATCCCTTGAGACCACTGAATGGAGTGGTGAAAGCCAAATTCAACACCGCCCACCTATGNCTATGCTGCTCTTTCTAAAGTTCGCCACCGATAACCATACGGAATAAAGACAAACTACCGATGTTGGCCGCTTCTATGATAGTTTACTCGTTCAGATGCGTTTGTATCGCACTCTACGTTGGTCGTACGGCATGGCAGTTATCTAACTGCATGAAAGAACACCATCCGTGCTGGCTGAGTCAAGGTGGTTCCGGATCTATCACAAGTGTCATTCTATCTCACTTGGTAGACACTGGTCATCGTGTTGACCCAAGTGAAGCACTCCTCATTATTTATCAGTCCCCCCCTCCCCTCTCCCCCGAACCGGTCCAAATGCGTTAGAATGCGCACGTTGGCCACAGCCGAGGCCATCTGTATTATGTAAACTGTAACGGCATGATTATGAGTTATTGAGAACAATTATTGGCCTGAAATTGTGCTCTAAATAAAAAGTACGATAAACCTTTATTTTTTGGCATAAGATATTGTTATGACACTGGTCTTTTGAATACCCAAACTCGAGATGTTACATCAGAAAACCTGCATTCTCACTGTGATCAAATCGCTGTTCCACTTTTTAAAGGCATCTTATATTCAAACGAACTTGTGTGTGTGTATGTCTACGGTATCATTATTCCCTACCTGTTTGACCTCCTTCACCAGCATACTTTGATCGCCGTGTGTGGTCTGTGCCGAGGTTGGTTGCAGGAGACATAGGACCAGCAGCCATACGAAGCAGTTTTGACGTCAATCCCGAGTTCGGATCACCGATAAAATTCACACCACGAATGACCGATGCGGATGCGGGCGCAGACATGGGTGGATCATCAACAGTTCGTGACACCTTAGACAGTGGACGATGACGCTTGCTGGCTTTGCCGGTAAATGAATCGACCATTGGTTTCATGGACTTAGTTGCATCAGTACTACGCCGCGTGGACAGCGGAACACTACCCGAAACACGCCAGTTAGCAGCCGGTGAATGGGAGTCAGACACATAGTTGCTGGATAGAGCACGATGCAAATCCTCCGCAGATAAGACAAGAAATTCCACAAGAAACCGCCATTCTCGTGTCAATGACAGAATACCACATTGAAGAAGCTCGTTTGGTGGTACCTGGGAATCATGCAGCCATTCATTGAGTCGACGATCGGCCTCATTTTGCCCCAATTTCGTGCTTAAAGCGATCAGATAACGACGAAGCACGAGGATCAATTGACAGCTTGGGTCAAATCGTAGAGCTTGCGCTTTCGCCGTCCGACGGCGTGCATAAGCATCGAGGCTCTGTTATCGATAGGGAAGCCGGAGAAGAAAACCAATGCAACATCAAAGTAAAAGCAGAAAAAGGAAGAGGATGAACCAGGTTTGGCNTATTGAAACACATTATCAAACTAGTAAGTCATGCGATCACGATGCGCAACGCTTTAGCCGATCAGAATAATGGGGTGTATTTTCTAATGCGAACTGTGAAATACCGAGCCTAAATAAACACGCAATGACAGTCTAACGGACTAACCTTATCACCGAGTAAATGAAGAAAAGAAGTTCTATCTTTGTCATCGACCACAGATGACTTTGGGTTGACTGCCTCCGTCATCAGACAAGCCGTCACTGCCAAACATCGACGCTCCATGCGCGTATAGAGATGACGGCATACAGAGATCAGTCGATAACATGGGTCCATCCAGGCCTTTATCGATGGTGCGGCCGTACTGAGCAAATTCCAGTCCGATCTGAAATGAATAGTGATTGAGACACAAAACATTAACAGTTGTGGACATTCTTCTGTTGTCCTCTGTTTTTTTCTCTGTCTCATAGATACATATAAAATCCAAGAAAAAAAACAGGACTTTCATTGCGAAAAAACTATTGCATCCCACATAAACTTTACCCATTGAAGTCATTAGTTCATTAATCCGGATAAGATTTCGAAACATGTCCGTCTCGATATTATCCCATTCCCTAATCAACAATCATTCTATTTCATATTTTTGGTGTATTAGTGCACCTTTCGAGCAAGAATAGTTCAGGTTTTTCCTCTGGGGTTCAAATCTGGGCTGTACACAGGTTACAGTATTGCTTTGATGACAGCCGATATGAGTGATTAAATACGGTATGATCATACTGAAAATGGTTTCATGGTGATCCTTCGATGCCAGTGTTAGCATAAGTGGATACTTCAATGTACCTGATAAGGCACCCCGTAACAATACGGAGTTTCGATGGCTAATTTGTTCATTTCACCGCGCACGCCAGTATTAGTACCACGCGTTGGGTCTATCCAAACTGAATATCTTTTCGTTTTTTTTTCAAGCAACATGAGTTTCAATTCGCAATAAAAGTTTTTTTCGGTTTGTAAAGCTGCTGAAACTATGCACCGTATCACTTTCTTCTATTTCATCCAAAAGACCGTTTCAAGTGTTCGTTGTATCGTTTGGATCGAAACGTCAAACTCAGGCACCGCTCTCGTCTCCGATGAATAACTCACGAAGTTTTAGGCTATACGTAACAATCTGCGCTCACCTATCGCCGAGTTCTTTTTCAGTGCGATTGTTTTCCAGCTGTTTTCGCTAAAAACATCGTGCCACAGTGTGATCGAGATTCCTCGTTAACAGTAAGTCTCTTGCATCGCACCAAGGTTGGTAATGGCTTGCAGTGACATAATTGAATATCTTTGTTATTTCAAGGTCAATGAGAGTGACGTGGGCATATGCCAGTGTGACCGGAGTGTCACACGAACGTAACTGACAACACTCTGGCAACCGTTGACTCACCACGGTTACCAGTTGCCATACCGAATTACAAACTCGGAATGTCTATGACACTCATTTTAAAACTGATTTGAGTGCGTGAAGCCCATTGGGGTTGTAACACTTTTGTTGCTGCGAAAATTCTGTTCTGTTCTCGATATTTTCGTTAAAATGAAAGATAATTCGATGAAATTTCGTATCACAGCTTTTCATTCGTTTGCCGTCTAGATTCTTCATAATAGTGATCGCGCATATGGGGGTGGAAGTGCAGTACTTTCGTCACGGGATGCATATGAACGGGGGGGGGGGNCTCAGATTGTAGCCAGTCTCCCTTCCCTTGCAGCGTGTGAAATGTTCTTATAAACCCAAGAGTCTTGACTAAGTTTTGCTGAGAAAGCCTTATTCATTGCCTCTCTGTGGCAGAGGTATTTTCTGGCTGAAGTGAAAAGACAGAAACCGAATTTCGGGGCTATAAACGGGTCGATGAACCGTTGACGGTTCACCCAGGACAGCGGCCTGAAACCAACAAAGAATGGGCGTACAAACCACACATCTGGTTGTGGCAGTGATCACCTGCTTCATTGTAGATCGAAGTATCGAGCACCTTGGACGACTGACGCCGTCCGAACGATGTATGGTTTGATGAACCGGAAAAGGACTTTGAGTCCACTTGGATCATCGGCACGTAATGAATTCATCTCATGCTCAAAGCGCTTTGCGCGTCCTCCAAATATTCGATTAGACAGACGACGTCATCGGCGTATTCTAAATCGGACAGCTTTTCCCAACCTGCCTATTCAATACCTACGTCCTGGAGACCATTCGCGGCGTTCTCCAGTATTTCGTC